AGAGCTGACGGAACAATCGAACTGAAAGTACAGTTTACAACATACTTCATAGCCAACTGTTAAACAATGCACTAACAAGTGTAAATGTGAATAGGCGAATGTTCTCTGCTCGGTTTCTTCGTTAATATGTATTCCATAGTTACGAACCAGCTGTTTAAGTTACTTTCGTGCCCCCAATGTATGATCGGTGCACTGAGTTTATTTAACGACGCTTTCTTAACGACACATGATTCACATGTGGCGTCAGTGTGCAGTGGGGAGCATGTGGGAAGAAGTAGTAGGCTATCTGGAGTGACTGACGAAGATCGCGAAGGGCAGTCGAGGCGTTTCAGTCGCCTTCGCCGAACTCTCGCTGTGAGGGCGGAATAGTTTTCACGGGTAGCGGTAACAAGGTCGGTTTCGGAAAAGGAAAGCAGCCGCAGTGGCGTGCGTTAACTGCTGTTTGTTGGAATAAAGCAGTGGCGTGCGGACAAGTTGCCTCCGTTTCGACAAAACAATGGCATTTCGAGAACCGTTTTCAAATGTGCAGAAATACGCTTGGCTTCAAAATTCCAGAAGCTCTAGCTGAGAAACAGTTACAGTAAGTAATTTTAAAAGCTGCAAAAGTTACTTCGGATTTGAGGTTACACGCCCGACGGAACAGAGGGCTAGACCGCGGGGCAGGACGTCTGTCTCTTGCTTTGTAAGTCCGTGTGGACTGGCCTATAGATACCAACCCTGAAGATGCTTCACCGAAACATTGGTATCTACGCTAACTCGTCAGTTTCTTTCAGTGGGCTGGCCTCCGCCGAGCACCGAAGCGCTGCAGTCGCCCGAACAAAAGACTGACGCGACGTACCCGACACACGACGCCTTCCGGTCGCAGGAAGTCCCCTCCAGACGACGAGGGGTTCCTTGGATAACTCTCGACTCAGACCCTGCGCGTGACGGACATGCCACTTCGTCGTGGAATCCGGTGGCTCCGTTCGTGACGCAAGAGACGTCGAGACACGGGACACGCCGGCCAATTTCCATAGAAACGCCTGTTTCGTTGAGAAACAGTCGCTTGTCGGACAACGGCGAGCCAGAGACTGATGAGGGCCGACACTTGTTCGGGCCAGACAGACGCCAGACGCTTTTTGCCATTTCAGAGACTCTGGGGGCGCTCAACACCGTGGGGCGCTACCTCGTGAACATGACGCGAGGTGCGGACACAGAGGGGGAGGAGCCGCAGGGAGGGGACCTCTCGGGCGCCATCTACACGATCAGCAAGAACGTTCTCGGTCCGAATGTCACTGAAACCATAGCTCCCCTCGTGCGGGTCGCCCTGCCCCATCCTGGTGGTAAGCTGACGCAGCCGGACGACCCCTCGGCTTCCAGACCGTGCAGGACCCCAGACGGCCGAGCTGGGTCGTGCGACGACCTGAGCAGCTGCCCGCAGCTGCTGCTGGACCTCAGCAACCTCAGGCAGTCCATCTGCTTCAAGAGCCTCTTCGTGCCGGGCGTCTGCTGCCCCTCACCGTGAGTACCTCGCAGGTTAGGGTAGCATGTGCAGTGCGCGTGTCTTCTGTTCTTTGTGCTGTACGCCACAGAACATGCTCAACACATGGATTTATAGATTTGCTCTCTTGTGTTCCTTCCATTACACTATATCAGTATTGCTTCAGTTGTCTGCGTACTTAATTAAGCACCACTCCCTTGGCGATACAGGCGTATGGGGGAATGGCAACATGACTCCACACATTCTTAAACTTGACCCCCAGAGCAGCTATTGAATCGAACCTCATTCCTTCAGCCAATTGCCTGTCACTTTACTGAATGAGCTTTCATTTAATGGGGTCTTTGGTTCATGCTACGCACAACTGCTTTCACTAAGACCTGCCTCTTAACAGGTATCAACTTAAGATACGGATCACATCGGACCCAAATGAAACAAGAGAGACCACCACTTGCAGTACATATCGATTGTTGTAACTGAATGTAACAGATGGGAATATATGGCCTCGGTATTCTTCATTCATTTTGTGAATGTTGTGCAAAGAACACGTTTTGTTTTGTGATACCTTCAGCAGGCCAACTGTGAGAATTGTTACAAAAACGTTCTTCATTTGTCACATGGGCCCATGGTCTGCTTAACAGGTTCATAACACCAGCACCAGATGTAGTGACAGTGGCGACAACAGTGAGAACAACGACAACTACGAGGCGCCCCGCGACAACGACTAGAAGACCAAGTCCGGTGGTGACATCTAGCAAGACCACCACATCACGGCCCACCGTGGCCCCCAGTGTAGGTACTGTCTCACTCACCTTTTCTTGGGCGAATGTTGCCGCTTGCTCAGTTTCTCAGTGGTTGTTGGAATGTGAAATCATCCCAAGTCCTGTGTTTTATAAACGGCCAGCCTACCCATTCGGGTGCGTTCAACAAAGGTCAAATTAGACACAGGATTTACTGATCTGCATTTCTCTGTATGTGCAGAGTGTGGTCAGCCCGAGGTCCCAGCATTCCGCGTTGTGGGGGGTGAAGAGTCTCTTCCAGGGCGGTGGCCTTGGATGGCAGCCATCTTTCTGCATGGTTCACGCCGCACTGAGTTTTGGTGTGGTGGTTCCTTGGTGGGACCTCGCCACGTGCTCACTGCAGCGCACTGCACACGTGACTCAAGACAGCGACCGTAAGAGCACATCACATTGCTGTTACTTAGTACTGTAAAAAAGTAAAGCTATCCCTCTCCACGACCCTGTACACATTGGATAGGAGGCTGGGTGAGCCCCAGAACCAGTCTGAATGCAGAGGCTAGAGGAAAAATCCTCTGCCCCTGTTTGGGATTGAACCCAGATCGTTAAGCCCTAGTCAGTCGCAGAACTGACTGAGCTACCCCAGCTCCCCACTCAACGCTATGGTGTGCAGAAGGTGTTACTCAGGCCATCATTTGCACGATCTCCTTGCAGCCCATTCTCAATGATACGATGTCTACAAGCTGTTATTAGTGTTCATACTTGAATATCACTTACAGGTTCAGCGCACGTCAGTTCACTGTGCGCCTGGGTGATGTTGACTTGAAGCGCGATGACGAACCATCGTCACCAGAGACGTACCAGGTGGTAGACGTGCACGCGCATCCTCAGTTCAGCCGTGTCGGGTTCTACAATGACATCGCATTGCTGGTGCTGGAACGGACAGTGAGGCGGTCCCGGTACATAATCCCACTTTGTCTGCCGCCTGCCAGGTATCGCCACGAACCCTTTATTGGCCAGAAACCGACTGTTGTCGGCTGGGGTACTACATACTACGGTGAGTTGCATCATTAGTGAGACAGGGAATTAGCTGAAATGTAATTGAAAATAGTGACATGTCTTCATATGTAGCGACTAATTTTATGTCACCATTTGTAACTGGATTTTTAAAAGCACCAGCCTTTGGTGTTCAGGGTCGTCTTTGACCCAGGCGTTGCCCATGAGTTTATGCTGTGTATGCGCACTCAGCTGCTGTCAGTTTTTTCTTCCCTTCCAGCAGTTTATAAAGTGCTTTTGTCATTTCTGTTTGAAATGTATTTTTATATAAATTCTACAGTTCAGTATAACACCAAATTACTTGAACAGAAATAAACAACATTTTCAAGTAGATTACCTTCCATTGCACGCAAGTTCTTTATGTCTCTTTATTTTCACTGAATTTTTGGGTTACTTTCACATGTGGATATCTACCATTTTACTCATTCCCACGTTCTCTTTCATTTGGTCCTTCTGTCATATTCCCATTTCTGTTTACACAGAGGCTCTTAACTCCTTGAAGAGTGAACCCTATCTAAGTAATATCTGGAATTTAAGTTCCTACCTAAAAGAAAATACATATCTGTTACCCTTGGTTAATGGTGCTTTGGGAAGTAGTTGCTGTTTGCTGTGAGAAAATTAAACCCACGCATATTTTTTATGTGCATAAAGCTAGGCTGTTTAAAGAGACAGTCTGTCCGTGCCTTGCAGTCGTGATGTGCCCCAATGGTCCCTGTGCTTCTTACAGGTGGCAAGGAGAGCACAGTGCAGCGCCAGGCCCAGCTGCCCGTGTGGCGCAATGACGACTGTGACCGAACATACTTCCAACCAATCACGTCATCCTTCATCTGCGCTGGCTACACAGAAGGGGGCAAAGATGCCTGCCAGGTTAGTGATTTTAATACACAATTTTCAGTGCTCAATAACGCTTTTACGTACAACAGAGATGAGCTCATGAAGCGCGTGTAGCATGGATCAAGGAGACAACAAATGCAAGATACTTTTCAAAGTAGTAACTTGGAGGATACAAGATTTGGAATAACAATACTGGATAAGAACTTGGGGAATGACGTCATGAAAATACGAATTCAAATTTGGCTGGTTTCGTTCACTTCACAGTCTTACATTTTTTATCCATTTTTATATTATCTGTCCATCCATGCCAACAGGCTCCCTCTATCATGTATTCTTGTCAAAAGTGTTGTACTCGATTCACCTACACTTACCTTACCCTACTTAAACTTAAATTGTTTAATTGCCCTAAGAGCAATATGTAGCATATAAATGTGAAGCACCCTGTTGTGTGGTGACTGTTTTTTAAAAACATATTGTTTCATATTAAATGGATGCAGGAAATGAACTTGTTCACTATCAGTCTGTTGTTCTGTGACATCATTTCATTAATATTTTGTAGCGCTAGTCTTAATTCTGGTACCGCAAATTCACAGGAATCATCACCATCATCTTCTGAGTCTCTTTCGGTGTCACTTTCGAATCAACTTCCATCATGTATTCTGTAAAACAGAGTAACAAAGTTCAACTAAATCCTTGTATGTGATAATCGTTGTCGCTGTTCAGTAAAACTCCAGTGTTTCTGAGACTGTCTCTGCCTCCATCATCATGGATGAATGTGGATGGTTTATAAATCCATTCACCCAGGAGAGTTCTGTCCCTAACTTAACGAGGGAAAATTCCATATGCGTGATGATGTATACAGGTACATTCTGAAGCATTTTAATCTTGCTGATGGCCAAACAGGATATTAGTTCACTTAATCAGCATAGGTTCCTCAAGCTCCGTAAATTAATAATGCTTGCCAGGACTTTTGCTTCTCTACACACTGAAGCTGACACAGTCCAGCAACAGGGATCTCATTGGTGTCTGTTAATTCTCGAAATGTGAAACCTGTCTGTGTTTTCAGGGTGATTCTGGAGGTCCTCTGATGCTGAAGGTTGAAGGCCATTGGATACAGATTGGCATTGTATCCTTTGGCAATAAATGTGGTGAGCCAGGATACCCAGGGGTCTACACGCGGGTCACAGAATATGTAGACTGGATACATGAGAACATGATCAAGTAACAGATGATACAGGATGCTGTGATATCAGCCCCCTGAAGAGTGGAACATCAGTTACGCTATGTCCGTATAGTTACTATTGGACATTTAACGCTTGTTTTCTTACCATTTAATGTCACTGTGTCCTGATGCTGTCAGGCGAGTTAACTGATGTCATTCATACAATCCACTTTGGATACAGAATCATAGGAGAGAGGTTAATAAAGCAGATCTTGGAGAACTATGGCATGAGGATGTGAGCTGGATTCATCTGGCTCAAGATAGGGTCCAACTGTAAGCTCTTGTGTGATCAGAGCAACAGAAATTCACGGTACGTACAAGGCAGAGAATTTCTTGATCACATGAGTGAATATAAGCCTCTCAAGAAGTTTATACACTTTGTATCAGTTAATTAAGCTCAGTAATGACATTTTGTTCTTGTGTGTAAGACGCTGTGAGGGACAGAATACCAGCTAAATGCCATGGCAAAGAAAATTAACCAACATTTTGATGATTGAAACAGACATACCGCAACTGATTTTAGGGAGAATCTTTATCAGTTTTATCGCTACAAAAAAAAAATTCCTGTTTTCAAATGTCTGGATAACTCTGTTGACTGACAAAGAGTTCTTGTAATCCATGCTATTGTAAATATTGTATAGAACCGATTGATTACAGGTTCAACAGTGTTAATATAATTCTCGTACTACTACTGGCTGTAACATTTTTCCTTACGTCTTTAACACATTTCAAATATGATACTTATGGAAATTGGGAAATGTAATTTATTACTTTTTGCTAGTCTTGATGACAGCATTTTACTAAAATTTTGAAGTGAGTTCTAATCCTACTCAAGGCACAGTTATGAGTTGGAGTTGCTTTTAATCTCTATCCAAAGGAACATGACACTTCTCTTTAAAAACAACAGAAGTGGTTAACATTAGACTTATTAAATTATTGGACTTCAGGGAGACAGGCATTGATGAAGCAAGCTAAGATGCAGCTGGCTCAGGATAGAGTCAAGTGACAGGCCTTTGTGAACGTGGTGCTGAACCTTTAAGTTCCATAAAGAATTTGGGCTATTCTTTGACAAGCTGAGTATAAAACTGGCTTTTCAAAGAATTTCCTGCACCATAGAGTGAGTGAGTGAGCAGGCAATAGGTAGTGTCAAAAGTTCTTCGTTTCTTTAGTGTGCACCTACTCCTGAAGAATGATAAACATTAAACATGTATCACCTTTTCCTTTGGAATATATACATTAGTTTTTAATATGTACTTTTGTAAACTTTGGTATGTGTTCATGTAATTGTTGTTACAAGTTCTAAGTGGTTCCAAGTGAGTACTGCATTATGCCCAAACGTGAGTAAGACTTCAAAGTTTGTCCATTCATGATCCCTAAAACTTTGTAGTTCTCACATCTGCATGTCGAACACTGCAGAATTCTGGTCCTGACACTGTCTTCTATCATCGACAAAAGTGGGTGCTGCCAAAATTGTAGTATTTGAAGAAAGTCTACTTGTTTTCATTTATATTGTAACAAAGTCAGAAGGTAACTCCATGGAGTTCAGCTCTCATGCAGTTGCATGAAACAGATCAGAATTTCCAATTGAAGTTTTTAACGATGAGCATGATAAACATTTCTCATTAACAGTGGACTTATGGGCTGTGATACTAATGTGTTGGAAGGATATATGTCCAGTATTTAAGTAACCATGAAGAGGGAGACGCTACATTCCCATGAAATTTTGGTAACATTATTGCCTTGCGTCACAACCCAAGATACCCTGAAGTATCCCAGACGGGGTAGGCCATACATTCCATTGAAATGTTGGTCAGTATTATCTGTGGTGTAGTGTACCAGTAACTTTCGCGTCACTGCCCTGATCTCAAAGTTATTCAATGGTGAGTCATACTGTGGGAACAACATGTGATTAATGGTTTGCGTCGTAAGGTCCAATCATTTAGTGTTCACGTAATGAGTTCCTGTTAAATGATGTTTGGTGTATGCTTTGTGCGTCTGTGTGCACTATGAGATACACCCTCGAGCAAAAAGTGTTCATGTACGACGCGTATATAAAACACAAATCTTTCGTGGAATGTTGTGTGGCCTTTATACAAAAGTACCCTGGTGTCAAGCTTCCCAGAAGGTCAGTTGTTCGTAAATTAGTGACGACATTTCGTAGAACAGGCTCCTTGTTGGATGAAATACCAGGAGCCGTCAAGCGTCGGAACAAAGGTATTAAACAGATGAAAAATAAGTTACAAAACACAGAGAAGACTTCGCGCCCCGTAGGTGGGCAGTATAGGAGAACAAATGGACCTACCACCAGAGCCATAACCCGGAATTCAAGGGTAAGTTTACTGAGAACCAGCAGATTAAATACGGTACTTGTGGGTTATCGGGACACATCGCTTTAAAAATAGATTAAGTTAGGTTAATGTGTGTGGATAAATGACATATACTTGAAAGTTATTATATTTTAATTCAGTAAATGACAAATTATTATATTTTATGGGATGCGCAGTTTTCCGTCCAATCCAAGTCCAGATATTCGACTCTCCAGTTCTGTGTCCCGATAACCAACAAGTACCTTAAATTCTTCCTGCAATGATGATGAATTCATTGCATTCAAGGAGTAGTAGATATTAGTATTAAGCAGCAGCCGGCCAGGTAACGAATTTGTACCCAAAAACTGATATAAAGCTCACTGAACCGAAGACTGAAATAAGGACATTAGCATTTTTCAGAACATAATATTCTTTATGAATGTCTTTTATTTCTTTAACATTGAAGAGTAGTACACCATGCTTGCACAAATGCAAAAGGGTAGTATTAACAGAAATATAATATCTTATTGTAATTGAAGTAATAATAAGAAACCTGTACAGAGTTAAAATAACTCGACAGAGCAGAACCCTCATGCAGAAGCTGATAGTCATTCAGGTAGTCAATAAATTCTGGGCCATTTATTGTACACAAAAGTTCACCACCAGACCTTGTCCATAATAACCAAATACAATCACATAATAAACTAACTAGATGGCTTACGGAACCTGAAGATTCTTCACCAAATTAACTAAGGCCCTCCACCGGACCTGTGCCAAAAAAATCTTATAATCATTATTTTATATCAGTTAACAATATTTTATTCCCATGTATAACTCATTCTCCTAAGGGATCTGTTCTCTTCAGTTTTTGTTTTCCCATTATATTTAGAGATTTGCCATTCGTGTCATCATTGCATGTAATGGTTTATCTTTTTTCCTTGATATAATACTGCAACCAGTAGTACAAAGACTTGCCGTATTTTCATAATATTTCACTTTGTGTTTGTTGTGTTTTCAGGTGTCCAGCAGTGACACAGAAACACAACAGGATGCTCTCCCATTCACATTTGTTGGCATCAAACAAGAAGTTGAGGTAAACCACACATTTCTGTATATTGTAGCTTTATTTATATTGTGTAAGTTGAGCTTTAGGGGATAAAACATGTCAATTGATGAAGGTTTTCCATTTTGGCAAACATTGCAAAATCTTCTTCAACCAGTGCTGCTAATCCCTGAAAGTTGAGCTTTAGACTCCAGGAGCGATAATTTATGTTCCCATTTCCAACACGGTCTTATTATAATGTGTCAGTGTGTCTTGGGATGATTGCTTCTAGTAAACTCTTGAATTTCTTGTGATTGCCTTAGTAAGCAGCCTTGCACCATCACTTACTGTGTTCAGTTACTGCCTTTCTTTTGAGAAGTGGACAGAACCATGGGTTTGACCCCATGGAGAGTTTTGGTGTTGGCAAAATTGAATCCTCAGGTTCTCATACTGAGAGTTGAGTCTTTCAAACAGATATTTTACATCACTCAAGGAAAACCGAGGCCATGGAAACAGGCGAGAAATAACGAAGGTGACATATTTTCACTAGACTTTCAAGGTGTCTCAGGTAGAAATTTCTGTTTTCTTTATGTTAAGGACAAAATGGACATCATAGATTTGGAGACTGATTCAGACAGCGACATACCAGAACCCTCTGAAGATATGCAGTTCAGATCTGTGAAGGAGGAGCCACTGGAAACAAGCAGCAGTGAGATGTCAGACAGTGATTCTAAGAAGGAACTTGAGGTGAGCCCCAGCTTGCTGAACATTACCGCACGATGCCTCGCCTTATAATGTGAAGTTTCGATCAGTTCATTCATAACTTCTGTAACAGTGTTGCCTCGCATGCTTAAATTGTATAGAATGACAAAAGATGAATATGAATACAGGAATGTGTCGTGTTTGTTGAGTGATGGGGTGATTACTACGTTCTGTATGTTCAGGTTGACACGGACGTCTCGGACGGGGGCAGTGGTTTAGACAGTGATACGCAGGAAAACTGTGACAAGACGCGACTTATATCAGTGAAGGAAGAGCCACCAGACACAAGCAGCAGTGAGTTGTCAGAACAGGAGCCATTCACGTTCACTTGTGTTAACATTAAGGAGGAAGTTCAGGTGAGCTTCATCTTGCGGAACTATTGGATGGAGCACTTTAAAAACATTACAGTTTTAAAGATGCTGATTTATTTAATATGAGTACATAGATTTATGCATAGAATGAGATGCCTTAACATTTGTGTATGAGACTGAATATCTTACTACATGGAGCAGGGTTCTGGAAAAGCTGGCGGTTACTCAAATAGTATAGAAATTTCCCATCTTTTATTGAACGTGAGCCAGGTGAATCCTGTCCACATCCTCACACTCTGTTCTCTGTTTCTTTAAGATCCATTTAATATTAGTCTCTTCTCCCATCAGCTTTTGTGACTGATATTCTGTATGTACATCTCATCTTCCCATGCATGCTACATGCTTCATTCATCTCATTCTTGAATGTATTTGATGATGAGCACAAATTATGAAGCTCCCCATTTAATTTCTTCCAGCCTCCTGTCATTTTCCCCCCCCTTAGGTCCATATATTCTCGTTATCCCGTTGTTCTCATAGACCCCTTTTCCCCTCGTTATCCCGTTGTTCTCATAGACCCTCGATCTTTGTTCTGTCCTAAACACAAGAAACCAGATATCACACCCATACAAAGCAATGGGTAAAATGATAGTTTTGTATATTGTAATTTTTACATTTTTACATTTTTAGATAGGATTAATGAAGATAAAAGATACTGGTTGAATAAAATCACAGAAATCCCAGTCAGATCTGTGACCAAGATTTGAATCGAGATAAGAGATGGTACATGTTAGTCTTGAGCTAACCAAAGCAATGGATGTGCGGTGGGAACATTGGAATTTTACCTTCACCACTAAACAGCGTCTCTCGGTACTGCTTACTGCCACTGTGTGTGAAGCTGATAACTTGTCTCCATCTAATGGCACAGTTAAAATTTTGAGGAGCTTTACCACCATGCCCCCTAGTCTCCTTCATGACATGGTGAGCATAGTGAACTTTATACCTTTTAGGTGAGTGTTTATGCAGTCGCAAACCTTCGTTGTGTTACGCCAGAAACAGTCCTTAAAAGTTGAAATGTAAATTGAATCAAGTGTTTGAGATAATACTTCTCTGTTACTGTATCCACATTTGGAGATGCCGTCAAGTGTACTGGGTAGCGAGCTTTCAGAGAACCTCAGCACGCTAACATTTGCTGTTGTGGTTGGTGTCACATTGCAACAATACAGGAGTGATAAAGTTCGGCAATCTTGCAGATCATGAAAAAATGCAATTTCACAGAATTGTGGATGTTTTAATGCCTTCAGGAATATGATTGGGAAATGTCCTGGCTGCATGTGAAGTTTAAATGTCAGCTGAGTCCGTGTTACACAAAATGGTTTTTCTGCAATGCTGCATTTTTGTGTTTGGTTGCATAGTGGTAGCCCAGGATTATGTCTTGAATGTTGCACTTTCATTACTGTTAGGATTCTGTAGCCATCAGTGGGGTGCAGAGTGACTCTGGTGCTTCAGATCAGGCACTGACAGTGACGAGTGGTTGCCGGACGTTCCAGAATGAAGCGTTACATAAACCAGTAGTGTTCGCGTCTGTAGATGTTAAATGTGAAGTTGAGGTGAGCTGATTTTCCTTTGTTTTGTCTTTTTGCCCGTAACTCATCACTGTTCGTACATTATTCCATTTCCTAGAATTTTATTTTAAAAATTAAATCTCTTTTTCACTGAAAGTTAACATTCTCATGGTATACTGCATTTGAAATGTATGTGAGCTGCTTCTACCTAATTTTAACTTGTTTGTGTATTTACAAAATAAGGGTTCTTTGCAGTATTCTTGTGTTATTGTTAACTTATACCCTCATGGTTGTTTATTTCACGTTAGAATTGTAAAAATTCATATGTTGGTTTATAATAGCTGTGACTTTACTGCAGGGTAGAAAGTGTAACGGAACAGCTTTCATACTCTTCATCACACGTTATAATTATGACAATGAAAGATCGGATGAACTACTGATCACTTTATTAACAGTTATCACAACACTAACAAAGTTTCATTTCGTTAATTGAACTGCAGGGTGAAGTAGCATGCAGTGATGAATAAACAATTCAGCATGGAGTAGCCTTTGGGAAGGAGCACAAATGAAGGTAAAATAAAAGAAAGAAACATAAATGACCCCCCCCCCCCCCGGCCACAAAAAGAGGAATTATATGATTCTTACAGAAAACTGTCACTTTCGTAAATTTCGCTATGATTTATTTTATCTTTTTAATGTGTCATTGTTTGTTAAGAAGTGACGTTGATCACATCAATACTGTGTTGTTGTTGTTTTTTTAAATTTTGGTTTGTCTGTTAATATTTATACACATGGCAGTTTGTTATATATAATCTGAAGCTTTCACAGTGACCAAGTATAATGAATCCTTCTCGGGCTACCAGCCATATCAGGTGGTTTAATGACAAAAACACCATCATTTCAAGAATCATCTTTGTCCGTGACCTCAGGGTACAGAAGTTCTGAAGTTGGAGCACCTGACACGGCTGGTGGCTCAAGAAGAATTCACTATGGCAATCTGTGAAACAACAACATTTTTTCTTATTTTTGATCCTGGAAGTTTGTAAACATACTTCTGACTCACTCTGTATAAAGTGCAAGCAATTTTTAGAGGTGTAAGGGCATGAACTTTCTCTTCAAACTAGCAGCATGTATAGTGAAAGGATGTAAGAACTGGGTTCTGTAATTAATTATCTGTCAAATATTTATATAAGTCATGTGAATGTACAGGGAATATCTATGTCCAAGAATAGTCAGTTGCTTTGCAGTGTAGTATCTGCATCATACCCGTATATATAGATTATATTATGACCATTAAAGGATCTTCTTATAAGATCTTTATACAGCATAAAAAGAAATCGGTACTCCTAAACTTTTCTCTCCTTGTTACAATGATGGTACGTGCGCTTGCTTGTTTACACTGTCCTCTACTTTTCTAGCTGTGCACTTTGAAGCAGGGAGTTGTAATGAGAGGAATCCTTACAGTAGTGAGCCAAGTGCAACACATTGATGAAAGAGAAGGTGAGAAAAGAATAATTTAAAATAAAATGTTTATGTGATGGATAAGTTTGCCTCCTCCACGTAACACTAATAGATCATTTACAGCTTTTTATTAGTACAGTATTGGAAATGCAAGATTTCCATGTGATCAGCACCTCCTACAAATATCACTTTAACCTGTGCTGCACTACAGACCTCGTGTTACTGCGACGTAAGGTATTAATAGGCTTCCGGTGCAACAGAGAACATTACGTTCAGACCGCTACTAATGTGTTGTCAAAGTACGAAACTTGTAAGTGAACCTAACAGTAGAATGAATCATGTTATCCTGTTTTTAGTGGTAATGTTACACAGAGACGCAGACTCCAGTGGACTCTTTGGAAATGGTACAAGACAAGTGATGTTAGAGGGAAGCGCTGTTGATTACAGTAATGCAGGAAATGGTACCAAAATTGTAATATCTTGTGAGTTCATGAAACAAGTTGTGTGACTTTGAACACATTTTGTTTCTGCTGTGGTTTATCCGATGATTGCAGCGTCACATCTATTGTATTGCATCTCTACAACTGATTATGGACGTAAATTCCAATTTATACTGTGATATATCACTGTGTTTTATTAACTTTTTTTTTTGTATATTTATTATACACAGTGAACTTCTTGTGTTACCAATTTATGTAATGACACGGTTTTAAGAGAATTGATCATGAAACCTTCAGTTTGGTCTTCTTGCCATTTCTTCACACTGTAGGATCCTCCATTGCATTCCTGTGATTTATAGAACTGCTGAATTTGGACTTCATTCATCATCTGTTGGGAGCTCTTTGAAAGTGCCTTAAAAATCACACTGCTTAAAACAATGGATCTTCTTTCATCATCAGGTAAAGGGGGGAGACACCCTCTGTGTTTGATCTGGTAGAGCAAGCTTTCCTGTGGTCATTGGGAAGAGTTCAGTCTACTGGCTCCAGCAAAGTAGATGTCTCCCTCTGCATATGATGAAGAAAGATTCATCCTTAGAAACACTGTGATTTTTAACAAGTTATAAGAACTTCTCATAATAAGGAAATTAATAATTTATACCATTCAATTGTAAAGGATTCTGATGATGGTGGATTACACTTTTAATTCTTTGCTGTCTGGACTGTTTCTATCATCTTTGTTTTAAAGAAGAACCCCAGTGTTTCGGAAAGTGGGTCTGTTTCCGTATTCGGGCGAGAGGGAAGGTACCGACTCAGTTGGGTCCGTCAGAAATAGCCTGACTCTATTTCCAGTGATAGAGACTATCACATAGCAAATAATTTTAAGTTTTTTCCACCAGTGGATAAATTTTTTATATTGCTTGATGATTCCATACTTATTAAAACTATTTTTGGTGACTTATATTAATGGTATGGTTGCCTGCATGTTGCAGTAGCAGAGTGCTGCATCAGCTGTGGATTTAATGGCCCTATAGTACTGATCTTTGAATCTATCCCCATGTTATAAATATTATTAGATCAATTTTTTCAAGGTACCACATACCCTCATTAATTACTGGAGTTCTTTTATAAGGCATATAAAGGCTGTTTCTAAGACATATATATACAGGATTATTGTACTTTTTGTAAAGTGATGGTGAATGAAACAGTTTTTTCATGACACCAAATTGATTTCATCAACTATTTATAATACCTTTCTTCATAAGTAGTTGTACTAATGGTTTAGTATTGCTGTTGTTTCTTTTGACCGTGTTCATTCTCTGTGTACAGTATTTTAGAGGCTAGGTGTCTATGGGTCATAAGGTTGGGTGTAGGCTAAGTGGAGCTGACCATAGGTGGTTTAGTGTACACAGAGGTTAGGTTAGTAGTAAATTTAGGATTTCAGTTGATACAGCTGCATAAGGTCATTCTGTTGTGTTGGTAATCTGCAAATCGTTAACTACCTATATACGAGTATTTCCGACATCCCAGTGAAATTAGTATGTTATCTGCTTTACTGTCTGGAAAATATTGTCGAAACTTGTGTACCCTCGCTTGAATTTTCTATCCGGCCAGTGAAAACGTACATTAGTTAAAATATAGACACGGAACAAATAATACATGGAATATCTCGTAGGTGAAGCTACAGTAGGGAAGTTGACGTCGTTGAAGTTGGTGCAGTATCAATATTGGCCGTGATTTACCTTGTTGACAACGCAAGAAATTTGTGCGGGAAGGAATACCTTTAAGTATTCCGTATGAGAATATCTGGAGTATATAATGGAATATCTATAAAGTGCTTAATTATATGATCATCGTAATAGATTTTTCTTGTCGCAGCGAGAAAGTATGCTGTATAGTCTACAGTTCCGAGGTATTTTGCGCATTAGCTTTGAAAGTGGGTTACTTTATGTTCTAATATTACTGGTGTACATGTGCATGGCTGTTTTCGTGTTCATAGTATTGTTTCGGTCGTCAGTGAGGTAATTCAGTGAACTGTGGGATAATGTTGATATGTCATTGCGGGCCTACCAGCGCTTCTCCCACCTTGGGAGTATTTGAATCCATTTGATTCTCCTTGGCTGGGTGTGCGTTGATGCATTGATACATTGTAATCGTCAGTTTTACGGTTCATATAACTAAGCCTGCTTCTCCTAACAGTCGTTTCTAAATCTTGTCGTAAGTTGTTTTAAAACTAAAAGTCTCTTGTATGCAGTGTGCCTGTTTGCATCAGTGTATCATAAAGAGTTAAGGATTAGTTGACAAACCCAAAATCCTTCAGTAAGTATTAACAGAAAGATAATGAAAACTGGGAGAACACCATAAAATAAATAAAAATACAAGATACGAAAATTAGCATGCCTGGCCAAGTGTAGATGGTGTACCTCTACTTACCTCAGTCTGCTAAAAAACATTGCTTATTCCATGAAAATGTTTTATATGTATGACAACATACATGAGTTGATGGCTTTATTGGTATCATTTTTCAGTATTGTGTGAGTTGATAGCTTTATTGGTATCATTTTTCAGTATTGTACTTATGTTCATTTGTATTCTTGATTAGTTTTATCAACAGTAAAACTTGCATGAGCTTGACTGCTTGAACAGTGATAGCTGCAGTCATAAATAAAATACTGTATCTGTGTATGTTTCATTCGGACAACTGACAGTGTCTAAAGAAGTAACAAATTCAATTTTGAGAACCACAATCTGATAAGTCTCCATTAACAACATGTAATTTAAATTGTGAATAAACAGGCTGAAAGGATTAGTGGATTGGGTAATGTGGTCTGTTTTTATGAAGTTATTTTGTACTCCCTGCAGAGTATAAAAAAATATGTTTCTTTAATGTGAGATGGATCTGATTGAGGTTAAGCATATGGTGAAGAGGTTCTCATGTGAACACAGTGGTTCTGCTTGTCACAGTACCATAGGTGAAGGTTGAAATTCAGACAAGTACTTTCAGAATAGAAGCTAGCTGAGTGTGGATGCATGCTGCGTAGGTCATACACTGTAACCAAGTATACTTGTTCTGCCAGATTAATGGTAAAAGGCACCAGAATTCCACCAAACTGCTTAGGAAGAAAATACTTGAATTTCTCATTGTTTGAGAAGCATATTTAAGATAACTAAGTTTTGTTATGTAATAAATTCTTATGTGACTGCCAATGTAAAGTGACCCCTATGCAACTAAAAGAATGTAGCAAACTTCTGTATTACAATGGAAGTTAATGTTTAAACTACTACATCTGTAATATTTTTCTGTAGGCATATCTGTGGTGCTTGGTAAGACAGGCAAAAGTCAGGTTTAGGTAGCCCTTCTTACCAGGCACCATATATTAATTACCTTGAGATAATATTAAGATAGAAACTAGTATCTCAGTTCATAAAGATAGTGGCAACAGTTATTTTCTTTTTTGTTAGGTAAATTACCTGTATAGAAGAAAATCGAAGTACAGGTATGAGAAGTAGCACGTATTAAACAAGGTAAGAATGCAGGGACACTGATTGAGGCACCGCTCATCGTGATGAAGCAGAAATGCAGTCTCAGGCTTATTTTGAGTTTGCAGATGTTACTACGGTTAAACATGAGGTAGAAAATAAGGAAGAGGAGATTTCTGTACAAAATAAAGACAGCGAAGAACAGGAGAGTCTGCCGGAAATGGGGTTTGTTCATTATATAATTAATAGTTATTTATCTACAAAATGGCATGATTCACATATGTCAAAAGTCATATAAATCAACATGTAAACCTCTCTGATGCTTTTACAACAGTAACTTCAAGTTCCTTTAGATCTTGCGTGCATAATTTGCAGTTTCTGTGTCACCATATGTTGACCCTTTTTATTCACATAGTATTACAACAGAATTCTTCCACTGTTGCCATATTGTTAAGTGGTCTGCTCACTTCTTCATGGTCAGTGGAAAGTGTACTTCTTGTTCACGTGTTCTCTGTGGCTTATACAGTAAACATAGGTCTTGTGACCAGTTCTTGTTAGGAATAATAAAAAATAAAAATTAGTACAAAAGAGTATGGGCCTACTGTACTGCCCTTCATGATGAGTGAGAACTATTAGAATGAGGACCAGTTGTGGAATATCGAAGTACTCCTTAAGGTGGCGACTGACTTGTAACATTTACTTGTAATGTAACATTCGCGGCGAGCATGTTACATTACACCACAACTGGTGGGGCGTATCGAATGCTCGTTTTGAACGCTCGGCTCGACTGTGCTCGTGTGTGCTCCATTCATTTCGTTCAATATGTCGGACATGGAGGTTGTGTTATCTTTGTTCCATTTAATACGCTACTGTTATCTAAAGAACTCGTGAATGCTCGTTACGACACCGCTCGACTGACTGACTGACTTGTAATGTAACACTCAAAGGGATTCGCGAAAAAACCGACAACACGATGGAGCGCCCGCGAGCGTGAGCGGCTCCGTTCGCTGTCTTCACTTGTGTAATGCTCGATTTGTAACACGTTACATTACAGGCAAATGTTACAAGTCAGTCGCCACCTTTAGAAATATGCCTTGGTGCCAGATCGTCAGCCACAAGTCCCTTCAACATAAGCCTCGACAGTGAGAAGCTGGCAAATGACAAGTAATTAGGCAGTATATTTCCCATTAATGTTTCCCATAGTATATTCATGGACACAAATATTATACTATTCACTCTTATTGTTATAATGGGTCAAAATATGACTATGGAACTGGGGCCACTTAAAGGCATATTGTCCATGTTCCTGATGTTACACAGGTGAATATGGAGCAGCAGTAGAAGGAAAGTAACAAGAAAGCCATTGGCCTCAGAGAAAGCTTGTCACGAGAAACTAAGTGACCGACTTTCTGTACTTGGCACAGTCAGATATTCACATCTCACAAGCATACTGAAATCTACTTATGAGAAAATAATTTAATCACAGGAGGGTTAAAGAGGACAAATGCACATACATTTTCTTTAAGCCTTCTCAGTGTTTCTGATCTTTATATCTTGAACAGTCTAGTGAATGGCATTACAGTTTACAATATTTTGCTGATCTTCTGTTTCCAGGCCATACTTCAAACCAGTTCTCAGAAATGGACCATACAGTAGTTCCAGTGATGGGCTACATATATGTAATATATGCCAGAAAAGTTTTGGTGATGGCTTCAATCTGACAATTCACTACCGGATACACACAGGAGAACGTCCACATGTGTGTAATGAGTGTGGGAAAGGTTTTACACAGTTCAGTAATCTTAAGATTCATAGCCTTGTTCATACGGGAGAACGTCCACATTTGTGTAAAGAGTGTGGCAGAGGTTTCCGACGTGCAGCACATCTACAAAAACATGCTCTTCTGCACACGGGACAGAGACCTCATGTATGCACTGTCTGCTCCAAGACTTTTGTATGCCTCACGGATCTAAAGAACCACACTTTTATGCACACGGTAGACCGGCCACACAAGTGTGAGTTGTGCACCAAGACTTTTGCAACTCCGGCACGACTGCGAAGACATCGTGACACACACAAGAGTTCTGCGTGAGCCTTGAGACAATTTTTGCCAGGACATTCTCAGAGATAATAGATGTGTGGATTATTCAAGACAGGATTTACAGCTCCTTATGATATCAAGACTTGTCTGGAAATTCATCGTGGCTATTTGAGCCCAGGGACAAGTTTTTGCAACAGTGTCTGAAGTGTGGAAAATGCATGAATAGTAAGTTCAACTTTGCATACATTTTCATATCATGCATAAACGTTCACACTAAAGTGGTTTGTTATATGATCTTCCCATTCTTCTTTGCTGTTCTCTTTTTTTTATCTTCCATTGGCCTCCATCTTCACAACGAAACTGTTAAAGGAGCATGCATTGTTCTACACGTGAATCATATCACAGCCCAGCAATCGACATACAGCGGCTTATAGCAGCTATCATGGCTCATAAATAAATGTTTTAAAGATTAGATGATATTGAGATGAAGTTCTACTTGTTGCAGAAGTTTTCAGTACCAAAGTAAAGTTGATTAATTAAGCAATATGCCATGCAAAAAGTATACTAAAAAACTGCATCTTGACACAATTTCTACACATGCTGTTTATAGCTTATGCATTCACTCCTAACATACACACCATTTGACTGTAATTGTGCGAAACTACACTTGTTTATTCCCTTGTTGAAATTCCAGAGTTTGTTGCTGTTTCATAAGTTCATCCTGCAATTCCAGAGCCCTCTTTTTATACTGTTCTGCCTTTTCCTTGTCCTTAACCACTCCATCACCCCTTTGATACATCTGGCTGATATTTGCACATGCATACATATTTCCCAATGCACAACCTTTTTCAGAGTACCTGTAGGCTTTGCTCATGTCCTTTGCAATGTTAGCTTCTTTTATACCAGATATATACATAGCACCTATGTAGTAACAGCAGAAAGGATCATTACCTTCACAACCTTTATCAAGCTGCTCCAAACCCTTATTGTAATCTTTCCTGTTCCTTTTATATGGGCCATTCCCTAAGCACATTAATCCAGCATTCATGCATGATTCACTTACTCCTAGTTCACATCCCTTTTGAAAGTACTCATATGCCACTTCAGGGTTCACTACCAGTTTACCTCGCCCTAGAAGCGTATAGGTTCCAAATTTGTAACAACTTCGACCAAAATTATAGTCGTCACAGTTCGATTTATATATTTTCCCGGCCTTGGCGTAGTCTTTCTTGATGCTTTCAAGGTAATCACCCAGCAAGTGACACACTTCTGGTTTCTTTTCACTGTAACATCCAAATCGGTATTCTATACCTAAATTATGGATGAACTCCTTTACTTGTGATTCGTCTCTCAGATCGAAAGCCATGGATGTGAGGTCAATTGAGGTTAGGTCTGCTAAGTTCGGCGTTTGTGCATGTAAAAATAAAAAAATAATCGTACTTTTAGTCTGTTGCCTTGTTATGTTTCATTACATAACTAAGTATCTTCCACTTTATATATGGCTTATAGCTTGAAAACGTGCTACGTGATCATAAAATACTACACGGATTGGAGCCTCCTTGATGCAGCAGAGTATTACCGTAATCCACAGGTGATAGCATCATAAACTATGGACATAAGCTTTCTTGATTCTTGAGAATTGTCGATGTAATGGAATAGAGAGGTTTATCATTTTATATTTGCCGCAGGTATTGTAATCTCTCAAATACGTGTTTTGCATGTGTGGATGCAGTCTTTTACATTTGCTACAAACTGTAAGTTTTTGATTCTTTTCGCCGTACTTCGAATGAGAGTAAGAAGTGTGATAGATGTGGCTAGCTGAGAACCTTGTAAGTGGCAATGTACGAGAGATTTTGAAAATTCACATATTCGTATATAATGCTTGGAAACTAGGTGAAGGTTCGTATTGAAAATTAAAGAATAATTTTGAATCTATTACGTAACCTATCCAGTCAAAATAAATCACGAATGTCGTTCGCATCGTTCTGGTATAACCACGTTAAACGATCATTACTTGTAAACGGAATTATTCATATACCATTTTTGTAACGTAGGTGTTATTTTGATGCTGTATCGTTATTCCATATGTACTCTTACATTAACCACTTGAAATGTATTCTGAAGTGTGATGCTTTGTGGCACTATTTTCAGCACAATATGGATATTGTCAGTGTTGACCCCAATTCTGATCCTGCTACACAGCCACTCCACACAGTTCCTGTAAAGGAGGAGAAAATGTTTGTCATTTCTGATGTGATAGGAGGAGCCGAGTTCTTTGGTACAGATGTGGGTCGGTACCTGTGTGCTGTAGCAGAGGGTGTTATGAAGGCGAGTTAAAGCAAATTGTGTTCACTTGAAAATAAGTGCAAATGTGGTCTTCTCCAATAAAGTTTTCTGTCTAAAATATTGCTTTCATATAACTAATGATAAATCATAGGTAACTAGAATCTTGTCAATGTTTTCTCAAATGAAAAGAAACAAATTATGCTGTAGATGTATGCTCAGATATACTGACATTTTTTATTGTTTAGTTTCGGTGAAGAATGTTTTTGCACTTATTTTATACAATTGTATGATGAGATATTATCATATAACATAACTCTAACCTTCACCCCACAAGGTTTGCAACAGAAAAGTAGACTTCATTAGTTCTTCCTAGATCAATTTGAGTTTTACTGTACAATGAAATCATGCCATATTTTCTGAATCTCATCAACTTTTACTTATTGAAACCTGTTGGCAAAGTAAAGTAAGGCTATCCTGCTTCACACCATGTAGACACTTCATTGGGGAGGGGGGGGGGGGGTGCCGCGCTTAACCCGTGGGAAAGGACCCCAATACCCATTGGATAAGATGGGTGAGCCTCGGAGCCAGCCTGGAACCTTTTTGTAATATAAAATAAGCATTAAGAATAGATCCTTCCTCAATATTTGTTACTTTCCGGTTTCTTGTTTGCATTTGGTATGCCTCATTACATTGCCTTGGTACCATACAGAGAATTAGCGCAACGTCTCAGAAGACATTTGTACAGTAGCTGTATGTCGTGTAATTTCAGTTTGCATTTTTCACACACATTTGTTGGTGGGAATCATTCCCATTGAACAGACATGGATGTGGAAGTGATTGAAGTTATTAATAGAGAGGACATACAATTATAATATTCACGTGTATTTTAACAGGCTGAACCAAAAGAAGACATTACAGAAGTAAAGAAGGAAGTGGAGAGTGACTTATCTGTGGAAAATCATCGTCTGAATCATCAGGGTGTGCTTGGCCTCTGGTAAGTGAAACCTAACCTAACAGTGTGCACTTCCTTCATTGTTTGTGTCCTAGTCACTTTCCCTGTTTGTCATTCATGGGCTGTAAGTAGCTGCCCATTGACGGATACGCTAGTCATTATGCGGACATATTTTGATTCTTGGGGCATCTCTTTCTTTTTTCTTATCTTAAAGGAAAGTTTTGTGACTGGAAATTGTGTTTTTGTCTGCCTGGCACGAGCTGTGACAAGGGGATGCTTTTACATGGTGAACTGATAAGGATGGAGAAGGAGACGTTGTAGCGCGTTCATACGTACTTGTCCATCGTCCACCTGGTAATTCTGAATAAAATGGGTTAACCTGTGCCCTCACTGAAAGTTGAACGTATGACCCTGCAAAAACTTCATAGTGGGGTGTGCTGGCTTCACTCTGTAAAGCCGACTCTTGAGTGAAGTGGAAGTCTCTGCGTCATGATTCCAATTCATTTGGATGTTATTCTTTTGCCAGTTTAACTCAGTTTTTGCCTGAAGATGGTGACAACGTTCTTCTGCAGAACATTTATATGTACCAAGAAATTTACATGGCTTCACGATTCTTCTGCTGAACATTTATGTGTACCAAGAAATTTACATGGCTTCACGACCTGACGTTTTTGTTCTCTGTATTTGGACGTGTCCTCCCATATGAAGCATCTTCCATCTCTTAATCGTCATCGTCAGTTATTTTGCAATTATCCAAATATCGCTGTCTGTTTGTTCTGAATTACTTATATATGTTGTTACACTGGCCTTAGACCTGCCCTCTGGATACCGTGGCCTCGACTTCGGATCCAAGCGTCGTCTGTTAGGTATCGAGGGAGCTTTGTGTTTGTATTTGTTCTAAAAGACTGATATATGCCACACAGTTCGTCAGACTGTGTGCTCCTCTTGTGGTAACTTAAATTGAAGCACGTAGATGTCAGATGCTGGATTCAGAGAATTGTCTCTGGTTTCTAAACTCAGATAGTAGGCACAAATGTCGTGTTTCGTTCTTTATACAGAGTACTTACAGTTTTGTCTTTCTCAATCCAGTTCTGAGACATTAGTGAAACAAGAAGAGGAAGACCAGTCTGCCGCTGCTGATTACATTGAACAGCCTCCACCATCACGATCTGTCATTCCACTTCTTCAAAATACACAGGGATGTGACTCGCACATCGCTAGTGATTGTGGTGGCTCTTTGAAATTATCTGCACTTGTAAAGAAGGAGTGTTCAGGTTGTACAGAAACATGTTCTGAAGTGTGTGCAGATGATAACAAAGAATCCACCAGTGACCATGAACAAACTGACAGCTGTGTAGAGGATTCTAAATCCATAGTAGACACATTCATTTCTGATTTTAGTAAATGTGTACAGAGGTGCAGCAACAAGCCCATGCCAGTGGATCCTTTAGTGATGTTGCCCAGGTCACAGCTATCCACGGCAGAGAGTTCAGGAATGGAGCTGCAGGACGGCGAGTCGGACGTAAGCAGCTTAAAAGGAGCGCCAGTTGTCGAACGCCCTACCGAATGGGACGTAAATCAACGTGCAGATTGCCTTCATTCTGTAAATGATCCGGAAGTTAAGACAAGCATTATCAGCCAAAAAATAAATAAACATACCGCCCAGAAAAATGTGAAAGTTGATGATGTGGAAAAGCTGCCAAAGGAGTATTCTGAAAGCAAGTCAAAGCAGCATGATTCTGGGTCAAATTCTGCAAAGATTCAAGAACAAGAATTAGTCACTGGAGGGAAAAGCATGATGCAAATGGATAAGACTGAAGATTTACCTATTGGCCGCGTGGCAAAGCGACCTAGGAGGTCATCTTCGAATTACGAGTCAATGAAATGTGTGAGCGATTGTAATTCGACAGAGGATAAGAATGTCGAAGTTAAGTTGGACTTAATGAGACCAGGGGACAGCTGTCAGGTAGAACAGAAGAAAACTGTCAAAGCACGTGGAACCGTGAAACCCCACAGGGATCTCTCTTCAAAATATCGGATGATGCGGCGTTCGAGGGCCGACGCAGATGACGCGCCGTATCGCTGCGATAGGTGCGACAAGCGGTACGCCACGAGCCGTGGCCTCCGAGACCATCACGCGTTCCATACCGGATCACGACCGTTCGTGTGCAAGGTGTGCGCAAAAATGTTTCCGACGCTGATGCGGCTCGTGAAGCATTCCCAGAGACACACGAGGGAGAAAGCTTATGAATGTCAGCTGTGTGACAAGAAATTCAGATTCCTTATGAGCCTCAAGAAACACATCCTCTTCCACACAGGCGAGCGACCATTTGAGTGCATCCTGTGCAACAAGAGGTTCTTCACCTCTCTTGATCTGAAGAACCACATTCACATCCACACTGGCGAAAAACCATTTGCGTGCAAATTGTGTTGGAAGGGATTCTCATCGGCTGCAAGTCTGAGGAAGCATCGTTTCCACCACGCGCGAGGAAAGCCGTATTTCTGCGGGTCGTGCAACGTGCAGTTTGAGAGGTACAAGCTTCTGAGGCTGCACATTCAGAGACACAAGGTCAAGAAATATGAATGCGGGGAGTGTCACAAAGCGTTCCCAAGTTCAGAACTGCTGGAGACGCACGCCCTGATTCATTCTGGCGTTCGTCCCTACGGCTGCCCCCTCTGTAACAGCACATTTTCAAAAATGGTTTCTCTCATGTGTCATTATCACAGCCACAAGAGGTTCAATCACCGTGGGGTCATCTTTAAACACGTTAAAGAACCAGCAGAGACGATGCTGACATTTGAGTAATTTTCATCCATTCTACTCTTAGTGAAGTGAAATCGTCGCTCTGTTCTGCTTTGGTGAGCCGCGTGCTTTTGGACGTCCCGTTTCTTACGGGTATATAGGATCATATTTTGGTGTCCCGCCGATCATTGAACTTGGTGGGCAGGAGAGTCGGATGGTCCTCCGTGGACTCTGGAGATTCGGACTCCTTGCAGAATTGACAGCCTGTCCAGACACGTTAGAAAGAAAACTTAACTGCGTAGAGTGGATGATGGAAGTGATCTCACACATTGCTTTTCATTTTAGTGATTATTCTGGGGCGCCCAGACGAGAAATCTCGCATCGATTAGAATTTGGGCAGAAACTGCTGATGCACGCTGCTAGGCCGCTGTTCAAGCGTGCTCGGTCGTAATGCGATCAAAATGTTATATCTTTCTGACGTAGGCGAGGCACGATAGATATGCTTACAAAATGCTGACAACATATTGATCAGAAAACTGTAAGAGAGGACACCACTTGGGACACCCACTGTGGAGCTGGAAAGATAATATTAAGATGGATGTTAAGGAAAAAGTATGTGGGGGTGTGGACTGGATTCAGGTGGAAAATTCAAGGTACTTGTAACGCAGTTATTTTCTTCTCAAGAAGTCTGCTGCATGGGGTTTGCGGTGCTTGTAAATTGAAATATTTGTTCATAGATGGCCCTACTGCTGTCAGACAATTCTGTCGGATCGTGTCGGTACTCCGAGACGGCTGGCAGTTAGTTATTCGTGTGCAAGACGAAGTTTGTCTCAGTATTTCGTAATCTGTTCTCACACGCTTTCACCGAAGCTCTGTTGCGGAAGTCAGTCCGCGCGCGATCCTGTGAGAACGGAAGCCGTAATGCCGAGGTTTTAAACGTGACAACCGCGTTCAGTGTGTGCTGTAAAGTTTTAAGTTGATGTGACTTAAGTTACCTGTGATGTAAATTACTTGTGGTCTTTAAGCGAGAGGGTCCATGTGGTGAGTGATAAGACCAGCGTTCATCATCAGTCACTTCCGCATTGTAACTACTCCACTGAAATGCACGAACGAAGGCAGATGGCTGCAGGATGCTCGACTCGTCCGCCTTCATTCGCGCGTTTCAGTCTAATGTCAGAATACATTTACATGTGTGAACAATATGAGGTTGAGTTGAAGCCTACTTATTACGTCATGAGACGATCTGTTTTCCGCCTTGGTAACCCATTTCAATTTTAATCCCTTCTGATTTCACCACTGACTTTCTTCTGTGGCATTTTCCAAGTAACATTTCTGTGGCCATGTCTTGTTTCCTCACACCACAAATGCTTCGAGTGCAGACTGAAGTTTCGCCTGTTCATAGTCGGGAGGTCCCAGGTTTAAATCTCGGCCCACCGAGTGGTTGTGCTGACAGGTTTTCCATAGTTTTCCTCAGTCGCTTGGGCCATGACCGGCTCCTTTCACATCCTTTCCAATTCATTCACTGTCATCCTCTGAAAGCGTTGTTAAATAAAGTCGTAATGAACACGTGTTATTTCAAGGCTTGTGTTGTGTGGAACACTGAGCTCGGCTTTTGGTTGGAGGACGAAGTGTTCTTGTGTTCTCGCCGACTGACCTTTTGCAGCTGCGAGACGGTGGAAGAACCGGATATCTGTGACTTGTTCATCCAGTAAGTTGTTTGTTGATTTCGTTCACCGCGCAAGGTGAACCGGTGAAGTCACCGCGTCTCCTTGGCCCTCACCTTTGACCGTCGGGCCTGCAGCAGAGGCCCTGCTGTTGGGACAGACGCAGACACACGACGACAGCCAAAGTTCTCTCTCTCTCTTTGCGTTCACTTCGTAGGCGCCAGGTTTTAGAGTAGATGGTAAAATCGTCTCGCCTCTGCGATCGCTTGCGACCGTCGGGACCCCAAAGTGCACAATCTGCTTTATAATCGCTGGTACTGAGTGGCATTCGTTGCTGTGACTTCAAATGGTCCATGTGATGCAGATCAGATGAGGCTGAGGCTCCACTTATTCGGGATTTTGGGAACGGGAGCTGACGAAGACGTCGTTGCCAGGGAAAAGGTTTCAGAGTAAAGTAGAGGCTTGTGAGAATTGCCTTTATTTCACGAAAACTTACAAACAATTCAGCCCGCTGTAAGTTTGTGGGCTAAGTCGCTTCTGTAAAACTTTCTTTCGTTTAAAGTAGCGGATCAGTTCACCCATCAGCGTTTTGTCTGCGTAGCAAATTTAGTTAAAATCCGTTTAACAATTCTGAGGCGGACGGACACGGCGGTTTACCCCTTTTCGTTGGTTACTGAGAGATTGGCGTTGTGGCTGTTACTGGACTTCACACGCAGCGTCATGGAAGACGATCCATTGTGAAGTTCGCTCTGGGCTTCGTGTGATTTGCTGGGGACTTTGGAGAGAAGGGCGCCCAGACATTGATGATCGTCGCATTCCTCAGAGATGGAACTCGCGGGCCTCGTCGTCTACCAACAACGAATCAGCACAGCAGTCGCGTGTTCACAGCGACGTTTCGTACGTGTCGTCACTCTTACCTGCATCCAGTTCCTTCCTCCCCCCTCCACACCCGACGTACTTCTTCATGTAAGCTCTGTACCGTTTGCTCATCACAAACAAGATTACAGGGTTCAAGCAGCAGTTCACGAACCGAAGGTAATACGTCACCACGTTGACCATATTGAACTGCCAGGAAGGCGTCGGAATGGCGACCTGAATAGTGAGGAACTTGTACAGGAAGTCCGGCGTGTAACTTACGACGAACAGGGCCACGAGTGCAATCAGAATTGTCGAGGAAACGATGCGGTTGTGTCTGAGGCGTTCTTTGCCCGCGCCTTCCCCAGGGATCCTGCAGACACTTCTCCTTATCCGAGTAGCGGTCAGCCCCGAGAACACGGCGACAAGGACGACGGGAACTACGCAGAACACGACGAGGTCCGTCGTACTCACGGGACCGAAGTATTCGAACGACAGCTCGTGACAAAGTCCGTTCTTGACGTCGGCGATCAGGGCGTGAGGCACCGACAGGATGAACCCTAGTGCCCAGATGGTTACCATGAAAACGTACTTGGTTTTCTTCCCCACGCGACACATGACTCCAGAGGGCAGTTGTGTGACGGCCAAGAACCTCTGAACACTTATCATCACCACGGAGTAAATGCTGACGGCGATCAGGACGTATCGAGAGAAGTAGAAGATTTTGCACATCGGAAGACCGAGTCGCCAGGTCCAGAGCACGCGGAAGTATTCCAGGAGCAGGTTCACGATCAGCGACGCGCAGTCCACGGCGGTCAGGTTCATCAGCATGGAGTTCGGAAACGTCCGCGTCTCCTTGTGCCTGACGAAGATCGTCAGAAGAAGCCCGTTTCCCGCCATACCGACGACGAACACGGTCGCCGTCACAGCCGGCTTCACCGTGTACGCGATGAACCGGTCGCGCTCAGCTGCGAACAGATTCGTCCTGTAGATTTGCAGCGTCTCAGTTTCGTTCTCCAGAAGGTCGGCCCATTGGCGCACGTCGAAGAAGTTCCTTGTGTGATTCGGTATTAGGACCGCCAGAAGATCGTCCTGTTCCTTATACTTCGACATGTTCGCTGCCGTCTGCAAACATTTGTCCAGTAAACGGGTCACGTTCTCCTTTAGTCGGACATTGATCTCCCACACTAAAGTTCTGTTCGAAAAAATTATTTCTTTCGAATTTTTTATTATGGCGTCATTGATTACGTCAATTCTCGCGTGTTCTGCCATCAGGTCAGTCATCTGGTCGACGAGTTCCATCAAGGACTCGGCTCGCAAGATGCTGGCCTCGTACATTCCGGCGTCAAAGGCGTGTCTTTCATCCGACGCTGTCGTATCTTGACCGCTCAGTCTCCCCAGGAAGTCCTTGCCCCTGTCGACGTATTCTCGAGACATAGAAATGACTTCGCGCCCCAGGGACTCGTTCGCAGTGCAGCCGAAACGCGCGACCGCTTTGAGCAGCAGCTGAAAGTCCTCGCGCAGTTCCAGCGCCGTCGGTCCCAAGTGATGAACAGATCCCCCGGCGTACGGAGCAGGTTTAAGTTCAGTCTCGTTTTCGGATTCAAAGTCTTCGGTGCAGTTGTTTCGGTACTGTGATATGTCGAACGCTTCCGAACTTTCGTCTGATGCGTTGTGGAAGTTACTTCCACTTTCAGTCGTCATTCCTTCTTCGTAATCGGCGCCACTCGGATTGTCCGTAGCGTTCGTTGAAATATCGTTTTCTCCGAAGGTGGCGGCGGCACGTGCCTCGTACATTTCCGTCGTCATGAGATGCAAAGCGGTCACCGTTATAATCACGACGTTTCGGTTGATCATCTGCAACAGTCAGAAATATAGGTCGTCCGATCCAACTACGAGCAATGCGAATGTCTGTTTTTTAAAAAGGGTCCAGGAGTTTGTGGTTGGAAATGTCGGAACTGGGCCGACCTCAAAGCTGCCTTGACTAGATATTTGACTGCCCGTTGTTGATCAACAAAATTTTCCCACTTACCGGGAATCGAATCCCGGTTATCCTGCCTCCATAACCTATCCAGGCTCCATGAAAAGCTGATAGTCGCTCAAAGAGTAACTTCCTGCTTCTTATGGAACGCGATGCCTCATTTACCCTGAGGAGGCTAGGCCACCCGCGTGCCCTGCATCTTGCAGATGGAATGCTAATTAGCTGTTGGTCCATACCTTGCGCGTTCCACGTGAGCCGAGAGCAGATCGCAGGAACGAAGACTTCCCCTGGTCACAGCAGCGCGCGGTCTGAACCCGCTACCTGGTGGGCTGTGCCTCGGCCGGGTGACCTCGCCGAGGAATCTCACAAAAGCCCCCTCGTTCTACCGCAGTTGCGAGAACTGATTAAGACGCAACTCGGGGCCACATCTGCTCTGCCGCAAAAATTATGACTCGGAATTCGTGATGATTCCAAGAGAAAGATGGTTCTTTGAGACGGCGTAAACATTTTGGTTGGAACGCAGGAAGGTAAGAGACTTCTTGTTAGACCAAGGAGTAGATGGGAATGTAACATTGGGATTGGAAAGTGTGGACTAGACTCATCACATGAGATTCGCAGTTTCTTGAGAAGATTTGCGCTCATTCGGAAAAAATGTTCCTTTCCTTGATGACCAGGGCGGATGGGCCCTGAAGCTGATTGTAATTCGTGATTTATCACAGAATATTGATATTCATAATTTAACGTACGGCCATTCTCAAGAATTTTATATTTCTTGAACGCTGATTGAACTTTAACTTTGCATTTTTTATGTGGCGTCTCTCGACGTTTCGGAGAATCTCAGACTGAATTTATGTGAGAAGTAAGTTTAGATAATTGTTCGTAATTTTAACTCTTCGCCCTGTTGTGGTGAAGGGAGGAGCGTGAGATGGGTTGGACAGCGAAGACGAGACATTGAAAACGCATTCTCTTTAATTCTGACATTTGAGGTTCTTACAGCGATTAATGTGTTGATGTCGGCCTTTTGGGTTGCAATACCACGTGGACCCGTGGTTAGATGCCAGCGTTTCGGAAGAACATTCTGCTTCCATCTTCAGTCCAGAAGACCGACATCACAGATTCTATCATATATTTACGTTGATTTCCTTCGACATCTCGCGAGGTTTGTTCTGATGCCTGGTTCCTCTGCTAACAGCAAGGCTTACTTGTGCCATTTTCGTATGTTATTATACAGAGGCACTTCGGCTCTCCATCGGAAACCTGGAAATTCTGCAAACAACATTTCATCTTTTACATCAACAAGCGAGTGGAATTCTTTGTGTGTGCCACGTTTTATGGACGAGAACGCACACGTTAATTATAATTAATTTATAGTTACAGAATTTGTGGTGCGTTTCCACCATTTTCCAATTGAGTCCTATCCTAAGACGAGTAGCACTCGGCACAGTTTCCTGTTCCATCTGCTCTCTACACGTCCCTCTCATTTTAAATGAGTGCCTTTCGTAAGTTTTTGCTGTCAAAATCAAAACATTTATTTAAAAAAAGACTCAATGTGCAGCTGATCGATGTGAGTGTCAAAGAAGTGGCCTACCTGCAGGAGCACAACTGCGAGGGAGAGTATCAGGAGAGTCCAGAATTGTCTCATGTTGCCTGCAGTCGTTCTTCGCGTACTGACTTCCATTTCGTAAGAATCGCTTCAAACTGGCAACAGTTATCTCTACGTAAAACAAAGGAAAACAGTTTTTGAGGTTTCAAGGTCAGTCACTACGTAATAAGTTCACTATCTTCATTGATAGGACTCAAAAATAACCTTAAACAGCATAACACGACAGTTTTATGTTCCCTCATGCATAATATTTTGTTGTGAATGTTAAGAATCGTTTATTATGAAGTCTTTTAGATTTAATGCCTCGTAAGGTGATGAGGTTAGGGGCGCCTTTACATACCGCAGTGTGATGGGACAGCGGGGGGAGGACACCTAAACTTTTACTACGAATAAAAGACGCCATCTTATTTCAGTTTCTCACGTCGCCATTACTCTTCATCACGTTTATTGATCAAATAAAGTGGTCACCCGTCTCGTGAGTGCATTCTTCAGGTGGTCTCCCCCCCCCCCCTCACTTCTGCCATATTGCTCTCACCGATAAAGTCGTAGCACCACGCCACGAAGACGAGTGGACGTTTTCCGTCTGACATTCTTAACCTCTGCGTTAGATGGAGGTGACTTGTCAGCTTGACGCCCGGCCACTTTACCGCGTTATTATTTGTGCAGGAGAGGCCGAGACCTGGTCTGGACCCAGTACAGTCGTTCATCTCGCAGCCAATTCCCCCGTTTTGATACGGGGGTACATATGGTACTATCTGCCGATGCTGAGAGACCGGTTGTGTGATGCATGTAGTTCGTGTGTCTGACAAGAGATGACGCAGCTATGCACCATACGTTCAGCACTTTCCGGCTCTTACGTTCACTGCGTACTTTGTTGTTCAGGTTCGTATTAAATTTAACGATGTTTTTTAATTATTGTTTGTAAGACTGTAATCGTTAATGAAAAGTTGCCAGAGGTTGAGGCTTACCTCAGACGCTCTCCAAGCGTATTATACCAGCACGCAATGTGCTGTAGTTGGGTGGACTTCATAAAGAAGCTTCACGGTATGAGAGACAGATGGCAGTACGAATGGCACTTCATTATTCAGGAAGCGAACGCAAATTCGAAGCAATTTCCTTTGTCGCCTAGCAACGTAAATCTTGTTTCGTGAACGCTATTTGATTTAGATTTTATGTTCTTCGTGGCTTTAAAGCGAGGTACTGCTTGGTTTGATACGTTTTCTGCCCTGTCTCAGGCTGTGAAACTATCTGTTAACGCGTTACACTGATTGGATGACGCGTCCAGACTACAATAAAAAACACGTCCTTCCGTAATGTCCGTGTCTAGTAGTTCGTCGGCTAGATGGCAGTGTAGATTACCCTACTACCAATATTTCCAACATTACTGTAACATGGACTGTTAAAAGGGAGCGGTGTTAAGGACATGAATTTGTTTTATGTTGTTAGTGTGTTTGCAACGAGTCGCATAAAAAGTGGCGTATATTTGACTCTGAGCGTTCTCTTGTCTTGTCAACAAGGACTCTGCTCCATGCAGTTAGTTACAATTTACTTGTTTGTAACCGATATGTTAACTTTTCCATAAATTAATTTGTATGCGTTTCCTTCTCATTTCCTCGCTCGGTGTGTCGGTGCAGTCACGTGGCGCGAATGGAGACTGGTCGAGTGCTGACGTCACGCTCCATAACGCGATTGAGTTCGGACTGAAAAGTAAACACAAGGAACGCGGACGTGACATATTGTTGAAATGCACAAATGTAACATAGCACGGCCGGCGTCTTTGTTTCTATGGCCACAAAAAATACAGCGTTTCTTCTCCGGTAATCGGGAATCATTTAACGTGAAGGTGTTCCGGGTATGGTCCTACGTTCTGGACCGATCCCATGTGCTTCTGTGTCCATGTTTCTCTGCCGTGGGGCTTGGGCGTGGTGATAAGATAATGCAGGTTCTTCAGTAGTCGGAAATGTTGATATTTGCCACAGATTGCGGTTCGGACGATGCGCCTGACACGAGCTGTGACCCCGTGGTCTTTTCTGTAGTTTGATTAAACTATTACACTATTGATTGCCATGATACAAAAAAAACTTGTGGCGTGTGATCTGGATTTTTGCACTGAGGGGCAAACAATTCGGCCAAAAACGTTTCGCGTCTCCTCCGTGTCGTTATTCAGGTTACGCGAAAACAAAGCACGCAATCGAGAAGTGCGTAATTTTTTTTTTAAAAATCACGCGAAATTTCAGCAACGAGTTTAAACGTGTGTGTCGCTGCGACCTCGGAAATTCGCGAGACCGTTATATCAGAATACAATAATTCGAAGGGATTCTGGCTTCTTCTGACATAACCTTCGTGCTTTTTTGTTCAACGCTACTTAAGTAACAAGCTCGGGCTCATGGAAGGTAATTGGTTATTTATCAGCGTTGTTTCAAGTACAGAGGTTGACTTTTACAGTATTGATAGCAATTCTAGACGATCGTGAAAGGTTGAGAGTGAGGATTTAGAAGGAAGCGTTTTTTTGGAGGGGCTGAGGAAAACCAGCCAGGAATATGGTAACGTAACAAGTGTTTTGGCTGCAACAATGCGCGTACATGTGGCAACCGTGTAGATGTGTCGAGCTGTTCGCGGTCCATCGCGTTGGTTTGCTGCTCGGCCGCACCGCGTCGCCACGCTTTCGCATGAAACAAAGCACAGTCGGAAGAAAGCCGCGTCCACTGAGCCGTCACTGCAGACCGCATTGTTGTGTCACTGCCACGCATGCCATTGTTGCCGACCGGACTTACATAAAGTTCGACGAGCGATACCCGATATTTCATCTCCAATAAAATAAAACCGGGACTTAAGACTCGAAGACGCTCCAACGCGTAAGCGTTCGTAAGTCCGTGTTTCGAGGTTGAGGCTGGCCGAGGGTTTCCTGGTTCTCCCCAGGCGCTCTTCTCAAATCCTCTGCATTTGGCAACGAGCAACAGGCGACAGGCTGTGTTGTGTCCGCTCTTGGGAAAGTTCATTTCTTGAAGTTTTATGATCCGTGTGTTCGATGTGGCGTTAAGCTGTTAGCGACAGTCGTTCGAAGTATTAATTGGCACACTTTAGGAGAAAGGGACACTGGACCACGTTCTTATTGCAGCGGAGCGTCACAAAACACGAGAACGCGATGATGCTCTTCTGTTTCACGGCCTCTGATTTCTTGATGCGCGGGTTGTCTGTCTGCAGGCGTTCTCAACAGAAGCTCCATCAATCTCTGGAGAGAGAGGCTGGCACCAATTATGCACGGTATTAATATTTCGAGATCGCGGCGTGTCTTTCATTTGTTTGCCGCTCTCCGTGGCTAAGTAAAAGCAGTTTAATGTTCTCAGTGGGCCGTGATTTCCTGACGATGTGGAAACAAATGACGCGCACGATGCTCACGCTACGTGGCGAGCCATAACCTCAAAGTTGCCGCTGCGTGATCCATGTGCCACGTTGCCATTATTGATTAGAAGCGAAGGGGACGAACTCTTTGTTCCGTGTCTGTTCCTTATCGTTGCGAAATTAATAGCGCGGACCGAGGACTCGAGTCAGAATTTATTTTTGCTGGGAATTCAGCTCTGCGAACCTGAGGTCGTGTGCTTGGCCTCAGTTGTCTAGGAATCGAGGTCCTTCCGTCCGTGTTTTATGAGCGCGTCTTAACCTTGTGCAGTGCCATCACGTGTTTGGGAGCTTAAGGGATGGAAAGAGGAAATTGAGAACGAAAATAACGCGGGGGAACGAAGGTCTTACAGTGCCGAGAGTTCGACTCGCTCCGAGCCTCAATACCTTGAGGTCTTGTGGCGCCCGAAGGAACAAACGTTATTCTCCGAGATCCATCTCGGTCTCCACAGTTTGAGCGGATGTAATTTGGCGTTTTATTGGCCGCTTTGTCAGTGATGCGTGCTTCATGTTCCGCCCATCCAATTGCGGGAAGTGGCGTGTCAGAGGAACCAATCCTGAGGAAAACGTCTCGGGACAGAGTTATTAAAAGACCGAGGCCGACTCTTGGCCTCGCAGAAATAACGGAGCTGGGCTGAACGTGTAGCTTTGTCGTAGGACGTCGAAACTCGGATGTGGGCGGGCGGATAACATTAAGATGGATCTGAGGCAGATTCGTGTTGAAGGCCTCTGTGGTGTCGTTGATAAGAGTAGGAGGTGTCCCCTGGACATACCAGTCCTCAGTCAGAGTGCGTGCTCACTGCGGGAGCCCCTCGATGAAACTTGTCCCTTGAAAACTGAAGAGACGCGATCTGGTTGTTGACAGGACCGCTCCTTCCTGATCCCGACAAACTCCGGGTCAATATTTCGGCTTGGAAAGACGATTGTGATGAGGTAAATTTTATTTTCAGTGGTTGGCGTTTCTGACGACACCGGTTTAAACGTCGTCGTCAGTCCGGACCTCGCGGAAAATGCAGAGTCAAGTCGGGACGTCGCATTAGCGTTACCTAGCAACGCCTCGGTAATGCAATCACATTCTTTAGATCCACTGAACTGCGAAACTGCGAAGAGCTCGCTCGGAAATGAGGACATGCAAATCACAGAGTTCCACGGAATCCTCTTACAACGCGATTGACGGCGATCCTACGAAGAATTTCCCGGCTGTTTACATAGGCCGAAACGTCGGGGCTTCATTTCTTCGACTCGCACTGCTTGTGGTTTTGAGTCTGTAAAACTCAAGTTCGCCCGTACTCAGGAACTGCTCCGGGTGGGGGTGAGATTTCAGCTGGACGCTCCGTCCACCTTTTCTGTTTCCGGAAGTGCTGGCCGTGTTAGCAGGTAAAGCTTCACGTTCCGGCCGTGTTTACCCGCGTCGATCAGCACGAGCCCTGCTTGAAGGGGGTGGAGCTGTCGGTGACGTCAGACGCAACGCGAGAAGTGAAAGATGAGTGTGGCGCTGCTTGTGGAACGCCCTGTGACGCTGGACCTGATATACGATCGAGTCGCCGCGGCGCGCACACAGTTCGGCTGCGGGCGGCGTTGAGAGAGGAGCTGGCCTTTCGGCGTCACAGCAGGTACCTGTCGCGCGTGTGTTCTGGGGTTACGGAGGCATCAGCGTTCAAAGCGTCGCTCTCGTTTCAGAAGTCGGACGCGCGTCCATTGAGAATGGGCACCGTGAACGGTTAGGTTTCAGAGGGAGATGGGCTGGACATGTAGCTCGGAAGAGGTCAGGTGGATCTTAGAGAAACAAACACGTGGGTAGAGTGCGTAGCGTTCATGCGGATGTTGACGATCCGCCACTGCGTCTCGTTCGCTCTTCGTTCTTCGAATGTTGTCCTTCTGTCCGTCTGCCTCAGTAATCAGCTTGGAACAATCTTTTCATTTCTGGCACTTAAGGACCTGTCTGTCTGTCTGTCGCGTTTTCATCAACGGTGGTGTCGGGGAATTACCCTTGAATTCATGTGATGTGTCGTGAGGAAGACCTTTCAGTCCTCGCTGTACTCGAGGGAGTAGGCCTGCGTCTTTCTGATGTTTCGTGTGTGAACAAGTTGCAACATGGCGGCGCCGCGGTGCATTGGCCATTGGGACTAATAAGAACGTGTCTCAGGACTAAGGGTCTTCGTCAGTTCTCAGCTTAACGCGACAAAAGGCCCAGCGTTGGCGACCCTGAGCGGCCATTCTTGAACTAACGACGCCGTGCAGACCGTGTATGGACTGAGCACGTCCGACTGCGCCGCCATTTTGTTCGTAACCTTCACACGTGAAACATCACGCAGTAAGTGACAACGACACTCGGTGGGGCTGAGTCCTGCAGGAGCCAGTGCACAGGAAATTGCCCGCCTTTTATGGAGGCGCGAAGGTTCATTACCGCCCAAGTCTCAGTTCGCGCGCAGACTCTTTCTTGTTCGTACTGTCGTAGCATTCTTCATGTAAAAAAAAAAATTGTTGAGATTTCTGTCCAACCGTCTCTGCGCATGCGCCACTTATCATCGACTGCTTATGTCGGGTTGCATTCTCAGGAGGACCTGGAGACTCTGTTCAGTGATTCCGAGGGTGACTTTTTCACCTGTCACCCGTAATTGTAAGACTTCTTCAGTTGATACACTGCAGTTAAATTACGTGGCAAGCGAACAACAAGTTCACGGTTCCTGGTGGGGCGTCGCAGAGACCGCCCGTGAGTCTCGCGAGGACTGGCCGCGAATATTAAGCCAGCTCTTCATTAGTAATCTGATTGCGTCGCCAGAGGCGCTGTCAGTCTTTGCTGAAAACGTCCAGATGATTGGGTTTCTGTGACGTCATGACCAGTGGCCGATACGGGTAATGGGGGATGCGAGGTGTTTTCTTGGAGGTCCGGACTCAGCGGGTGCTGTGGCCGATCCAGGCGACGACAACCGATCAGCTCGATTCTGCTTTGTTTCTTTCAGTTTGGAGCCGACGGAATGAGGCGGACGGACCGGCTGTGACGTCACATGATGCGATACAAGGTACGTTCAGAACTAAGCAGCGCTTGAGGGCCCGCGAGTCACAAAATTCGAATTTGTCAGAGGCACTGAGAAAAACCACGGAAACAGCTGTGAAGGATTTCTTTCCTCAGTCGCCGTGGAATTGTAACAGCCTTCGGCGTTTAGGTCCACGCGGCCAGAACCGAGACGGACGCCCCGATGTTTGAAATGGCCGCATGGGTTTATTCATCGCCTGCTTCGTTGTGGGTGTTGATTAGTTCTCAAATCAAACAGCGACTTTTTCCCTAAAGACCGGCCGTCTGGGTCTGATGCGGTGTGTTTTCTGCGAGGTACGAACCCACTCCTTGAAATGTTACTCAGACGAGCGTCATTGTTTGTTCAATAAACAGAGTGTCTTGGCAGGTAGTTCTGCTTTGGCTCTACACTTTTAGTGGTCGCTGGAGGTGGATATAAATAAGAGCTGGGACTCACTTCGGTTTGCTTTTAACAGGGATCTGTCCGTCCGTCCGTCCGTCTTTTGCGTTGTTATGTTACGAGAGCCCGCCACGACATTCCGCGGTACACGGTTACGCAGTCTTTCACGATCCATTTTAATATTATCCTCCCATATATACCTGGGTCTCCCAAGTTATATTTTCCCCAGGCGTGCTAAATGCCCTGCCGATCTCGGCGCCCTCGATTTAATAACCGTGGAGGTCCTCTTTTTGTCCGTAAATGTTAAACGTTACCGTCTTTTGTTTCGAGGCTCTGGCTGACTGGGAAGTCCCAGGTTGAAAGCTCGGCCTAGAATCGGCGTTCCGAGGTTTTACTCTGTACCTCCGTAAGAGCGCCTTCTTCCCAGTTTCTGGTCCACTCCTCATAACTTGTACAGGTAGAAAGCGTCGTGAAACGAACACAGTCCTATCGTTTCGTCATATTAGCATCCCGTTCAATTGATACAGCGTCGTTATGCAACGTAATAATGCGCGTGTTTGTCCGTGCAATCAGCCCCAATTGCCTTCTTATTAGCGTTAATGGGCTGATTTATTTTTGTTTC